CACGCACGCACGCACGAACACACAAACATACATAACTACACATGCACATAAAAGTGAACACGTTCCTACAGTATTAACACTCGCACATGTGATCACTTATGAAATATTTTCAATGTGCTCTTTATCAGTTTATGATGAAGTTATATTATGATTTTTTCAGGACAGTGTACAGCGTGTTTAAATCTTCCAGAAATGCAGCTGTGCCCTCTTAACAGCAATTATAGATGAAGCCAAGTATGGTAGCAAGTAATATAGATATAAGTTAACGTATATACATTGTTGTATTTTGTGAATAAAATAATACAATTACACGGACGTACTGTCTGTAAAGAAGAGTTACACAGACTCATATATTCCCATCCGTACTGACATCATGTGTTTTAATCTTTCTCAAGGAAAAGTCAAATTTCCTTGATTACACGCATTTATTTTGACATGAATAAATGTGGTTAGTAATAAATACTCTTTTATGTCTTGTTGGCGGAATGATGTCATAAAATGATGTCAATTAAGGCATATAAGCATTTTGCAGGGCATTTGAAAATGTTAAAACATCATTGCTTTTAATATGAAAAAATCAAATATATAAAATATATACAACTCCAAGTCCAACACACACAATTGTTTGATATCGATGCGCTGTGCATGCGACTTTATTTTATTAAATTAGTTTTCTTTTCTTAAACATATTACTGTATAAAAAAATATGTATTTCTTCACAATTTAATCACTTTTATATATGTTAATGATAGTATTTTTTTAGTTACTACGTGCGTAAGCGATAAGTACGCCGCTTTGATAATGTGAGAGTGACTTTACATTTTCTTTTGTGCATGTACATAAAGTTAACAACCTTTGTCTGACTAGGTAAAACAGGGTTTACAGAAGCGAATATAATGTAAGATAAGAAACAGAATTTGAAATGTCTTGATGTCAAAGTTAGTAAAGTCATTCGAATGTCATACACATTAAATTTTATCACGAGTTCGAGCCTCACAAGTTGTCTCACTTTTTTTTTGCGTTTTTCTTACCATATATTTTTTTTAATTTTACATTAGAAAAATGAATTGGAATAGAAAGGTAGTTTTGTTATGATATTTAATAATTTAGATATACATGCACGGATGATAGTGATTTTTATCCTGTATAGTGTGTAGTATGTAGAAGTCATAGTACTTTTGCAGTGCAGGAGTATTTCGTGCAAACTTAACTATAGTTGAAACAGTCTGTGTACAGTATCATGCATTCCGTATAAATTTGTGCCAACTTGCTAAATAGGGCTAAATATAGCTACATTTAAAACAAAATGAGAAGTTAATAGAAAATAGCACAAAATTTATAATCTTTGCAATAAATGATACAAAACTTTCTTACTTGATTGATAATTATAAAGCAATACTTTTGGGAAAAAAGCCTAGCTGTATTGCATTGATATTTACCACAACCTTACCTACTGCATTACGCTGAGAGTTGGTAAATTTGTTGATAATTTAATTTATATAGCTAGCCTGTTTGAAGATAATAAACACAATATGATAGCTGTTTTACACCTGGATGGTGAACTTGACCACCTCGTCAATTAATTATTATACTAAACGCACAGTACTTGTGCGCATGTGAAACATATCATGATATGGCGTTGATACGTAAATGTTTCACGTGCGCACGTAATACCGTCGCATTCGCATGTATTAACTAAAATATTTCCTATGTTATTTTATGCAATTGTCGCATACGTATATTTTATTTTCTGAATATGATTTCATTCAATCAGATTAATGCTATAGGCAAGGGAGGATATTTTGATTTATAATTTTTGTGAGAATTATCACTTTATTTTTAGCGATGGCACGCTGTAAGAGATTCTATTGTCAACTTACCTAGTTAAACAGTCTTAACAATAAAAAAATATTAATCTACACTATTGTATATTGAAGGTATTCATTCGTTTTTGTGAAGTTGTGATGAGATAGTCTTTGAAACAATTGAAACTGAAACAAACAATAATCCAAATTTGTTAAGATTTACGTTTTTATATAAATGAGAAGTATAGCTGGGTATTCCGCCTTTTACTTAACTGGATATCATTATGCAAACACGGATCTACATCTGAGTAGCAAATATCTGTACATTTTAAACCATTTTTTTTTCAAACGAATTGACTCCTACTAAGGCTTTGTCAGCACTTTTTTCCAATGCAATGTTATTTTGTTTACATATATTTTTAACCAATAAAATACTCTTTACATAGAACAAAGATACCATTATAATTTATATTACAAGTGTGAGATAATATATTCGTAAAAGTTTCATAACAAAAACATATAACTTATCATCCGTCAAAGATTAATCATTTAATTTAAATCCTGTGTAAATGGTTGCTAAAAAATGACATCTTTATCCTAATGATATAAGACAATTTTGAAATTTGCGTAAGAAAAAAAATTGTATATATGTATAAGCTTAATAAAATGCTTGTGTATAGACTTTTTGAAAGTTGTGATAACTATTTCATGACACTATTTAAACAGGATTTTAAACTCTCTTTTTTCAGATACACACATGCCGAAGAAGATTGTAATATCTGGAGAAAACATTTCCTACGTCACGAAATAGACACCGTCACACTGGCCTATAGATGATTGATATATTTAAGTGCTTTTAAGAACAGTGTTTGAATGACGAATTTCTGAAAATACGGATTTTTAATATTAATGCTTATTATTAAAACTTTCTGTAATTATCAATTTGTGCCATGGACTCATTTTCCTAAAATAACGTGTGAATGTTAACACGAGCAAATGATATGAATATCTTTAAAATGTTTTATGGGTGTGATATAAGTGGCTCATATGAATCATTGTTAAGATAAATCGAAAAGAACTTCAATTTAGCATAGTTTGTTCTAGATTTAAACAACATGCAATTCATAAAGGTTACGGCTTAAAAATATCGAAACATGTACATGTATAATTCGATCTCTGAAGAAAATATCGCAGTGCGGATGTTCTGCGCCGTGATACGTATTTCATGACTCTGTATTGCAACATACCGGTATATCGCCGTTCCGTTGCAACGCTACATTAATGTGTCCCTCTGGAATAAGTATGACTATTGTAGCGAAGACATGTTTATTTTGTTATATATATGTATACATATTGAATATATGTTTATGAAATAATAAATATTTAATAGTGACTCGATTTTGGTTTTTACTTTATTATTTGAAATACTCCAATTGTGAAGATAAAGTTCTTAAGCATATGACTTTACTGTTCCAATTCACAATGTGTAATCAAACATGTTTTATTGTACAAGCCTGTATTTCGGTCATGTATACGTGTTACTTATATGTAAATGCATGCTTTTGATAGTATCTGTACCTCCTTTTATCTCGATAATACAGTTCTGTATACCCTGTATACTAAAAAATGCAATTCCGTATATCCCCTGTATATATTGAAAATACGATTCCGTATATCCCCTGTATATGTAGAAAATACGATTCGTATAGCTTCTGTATATGTAGAAAATACGATTCCGTATATCATCTGTATATGTGGAAAATACGATTCCGTATATCATCTGTATATGTGGAAAATACGAGTCCGTATATCATCTGTATATGTAGAATATACGGTCCGTATATCCTCTGTATACATAGAAAATACGAGTCCGTATATTCCTCTGTATATGTAGAAAATACGGTCTCGTATATCCTTGGTATATTTATAGTATACAAGGGATAACAACCTTTATAAAGTCAGTATACGTGATTTTATTCCCCGTATACTTCAAACATACGAACAAATATACGCACATGTATATGGTGCAAATACGGAATTCCGTATATGCCTGATGCATATACGGACTTCCCGTATACCCGGTGTTCCCTATACGGACTCGTATACTTGGTCCGTATATTCGACAAATACATCCCGTACACGCCCGTATATGTAAAAAATACGGGACCGTATATTCCCGTATATCAGTATATTTTTCGCGCATACTATTTACAGTTTGTATGTTTTATACATTTTACATTAATGATGTAAAGTCCAACTTAAAGTCTGGATTTTTGCTTTACACTTTTCATTCACATATAATCTGAACTTTAGGAAGCTAAACCATCCATTAAGCATGGATGCTTGGTCATTAGTTCTTAACCCGCGGGTTCTGTGTGACTTTTTGATAAAATTCACAGTGTAAGGCAGAGACGGCAAATGGTTACTCAATAACTCAATTGACCGTACTCGGTATCTATCAGTAAAACGTTTTCCAATTGAAAATGATATTAAATTGAAATTAAATAGTAAAGAATTCCCAAGAGAAATGTCGACTTAAGAATTTAACAATATAGTCGTATGTGCCTTTTATTCAAACATTCAGGTACCATACAATATTTACAATTTATTTATTGTACAATTATTGTTTTTTGTAATGTGTTAGCAAGATAATTTGTTGAAATTTCTATGAGGTCACTGTTGTTATATGCTTTGTTATTATAGAAAAATGGCAAAGTGACGTTACTTTCATTATTGATAATTACTTTTAAACTGAAATATCATTTTGTTATCAAGATTTTCTTTCACGTTGAAGATACTCGCCTACATAAATGTTAGAAAGCATTCTTTTCTTCCCAATCTTTTTGTTCTATGTCTTAATTCACCAAATTTGACGTCAAGACAAACGTCCACTTAATACCTATATATCGCAAAAACCTATACCGTACTATTATTTCCAAGAAATAAAATTTATATCGATTGTCAAACGCAATTTTATCCTCGACTCATCTTAAATTGCATGACCTTTCTGTTAACTACTTTGGTCATGAATGATTCTGAATGATTGTGCAAAATTAAAAATAAACAATGAATCGTTATATATCCGAAAAAGGAACAGTGTGATACATTGATAAAATGTTAAGACGTCAAAAAATATTTTGTAAATCTCTTATTAAAAAAGTTATATTCGAATACAAATATAGAAAGCATACTTACCAAAAGCTCTCCATTCAAAAAGATCAGCAGAACTCCATTATATATTACCACCACAAAAGAAATTCTTAGAAAAATAGTCCATAGTCGGTATGGCTTCATCTGATATAGTAAAGGTCCTGTACATGGAATTTTAAAGCTGAAAAAAGTTAGTATGTGAATATCATTAGACTGATAATCATGCAATTTGTATATTTCTGTAGAACACAACAAAGTAAAACGATGATATGCCTTACATTTCACAATTGTAATTGATTCTCCCTTTTTTATTAGTTATGTTTATATAGATAAAAAAATACGAACCTTTGTAATAGATCCATAGCTTAAAACTGAATTTAAATCAAACGAATGTATAAATATAAACTTTGCAATTCTAAATATTATTATGCAAACTACCATATCCATTGAAGTTATATGCCTAGTCTGTTCCATAATTTAATCAACATTATGTATGAACACTTAGCAGAAACTTTTCGTCAATACATTACTTTAAATCTAAACGTCAACGTCTGAAGCTAATGGACGTTGAATGAGTTAAAATAAAATACAAATTTTAAAGTTTATTCAAAGACAAAAATCAATTATTGCAGAACGGTCTTAATTCATATACAAGTAAATGAGATATAATTTACATCTACATCTTAAGAAAAGAAAGCAATGTTGTGTGACGTAATCTGAAAGTAACAAAATAATGATTTAATTTTGCAAAAGTGTATTTTTACATATAAAACACAACTGTAAGAACTTAAACAACTTTGGAATTATCGAATTTTTCGCATGGAGGCTTTGTCAAATTGATTTTTTTTCGATAATGGATAGCTTTACGTTAACTTTATTATTACCGGTTTAGTCAATTTAAGTTTTTATTATCAATAGAGTGAATGAAAACATCGTATTTAACTGAAATGATTTAATGAATTAATGGAATAGGCCTAGACAAGAATTAATATTTGGCCGGTGATCAAACTTGCCAATGATTCCTGATTCATCCACATGATTTGGGCAATTACTGCTAAAGTTTCAAAGATGAACTATTTGTTTTATTTGGTCAATTTAATTTGGGTACTTTAACAAACAATATGAGAGAAACTCCATTAAATTGACGATAAATCGTTTTTATTTTTCAACTTTATTTTCACGAGACAAGTGTCTTCGGAAACGTCGCCGGTCATGTATCTTTTAGCATAGAAACCCAACTAAAACCAGTTATATATAAACCATATATATTGCCAGGCGATATCATTAACTACGATGATCACAATTATAATTATGAAACAGTATTAAGAAACATAATTATAAAAAGCATCGATTACAATGGAACATTCAAGATGTAATTAAATTCCAGACAGCAAAGTTGCCCTCTAATCGGCAAACCTGTGCTCAATTTACTTAAAAGAATCGCTCATTTTTGAAATGTTTTGATTAATTAGAATCTATATTCAAACATAATTAATGGAGTTCAGAATCAAAATGGAAGAATTGAGATACTATTAAGAAAACTGTAGGCTTTTTATAATAATAAAAACTGATTTATTTTAGTTTCTTTTCACTGGAAGTCGCATCAATAATATATATTTTGTTATTTCAAAATTTAAAGATTTGCTTTCTTTTTCAAGAACTTTTACAAGCTCTTCTTCCAATTTATTTTTAAAGGCTTGGGCAGATTTAACCATTGTTGATTTCAGTTGGTAAATGTTGTTTATTTATTTTTTGTCCATCGATATCACCGTTAGAGGTAGCAAAAATCGTATTACCATAAATCCGTCGTTCAATTAGTGTGTATTAAAGACTAAAGAGGTAACTAAAGTTGCTTGTTGAGTTATGTACAGTTAATTTTGAATTTTTTTATGAAGACATATATTTTACGATAATGTGCAAAATATCCGTAGGGAATAGTTTCGTCAACCTTTGGATAGTGACAGGACATTAGATTTTTCCGTATTGACTGATATTAAGCCTTCCGGCACGTCACATATCTGCTGTTTTCGTCTATTGTTGAGGCTCGATATTTCTTTTCATTAAAAGTTTTGACATTGCTTTTTGTCTTAGTTTTTGTCGTACCTATTATGCTTACTCGCTGAGACCGTATATATCTTTTTTAACTAATAATTTGTTTCGTTTTTCCTTCTTTTGTGTGTTTCGTGATAATTGCTCTTCATTTTTAATTCTTAATTCAAATTGTACCTTTCCTGGTCTTTTTCGGATGAATACTCATAAAAATGTCCTGAAAATATTTGTATGCGTTTTATCCAATACTTCTCATTTCAATGTGTTTTACTAATAACCCTAACTCCCACTGTATGTAAAATATGATAAACAAGACCAACAAGGAAAGGCGGCGTTCAATGAACGCAGCCCCCACACGACCCAGTAACAAGAACCAACGACAAGGAGCCCAGGCGGACCCCAAACAAAAACAGGACAGGGCAAATACAGAGCACGAACAGGCCAATCATTAAATGATAAACAATCTGCAACCGATTAGGAATTCAAAGAAAACAACAACAGGCCCACAAAGGAGAAGGTGACAGGAGACCGGGGAACGCGGGGGGGGGGGGGGTTAATCAAAGAAATAAAAACCAGAGGCAACGGGGAAGACACCCACCGCATACGAGAAAACAACAAGGGACACAAGTAAGTGTCACCAAAACAGTATGAAACAACACAGACATACACCCGAGGAACACAGTGGGGCGCCGCCCTGGAACGGTCAGCAGCATAATAATGACTGCTTGGGAGTTTAAACCGGTTAATGGTGCACCAAACCTCACTCTTAGCCTAACCATGTTCCCATAAACGAGACAGTGTAAATAAAATGAATCCCCGCCAAGTGAAATTCTAACAGTTGTCCTGGTTTTAAAAGGTTAATAAGTAAAACACTAAAATTATCATGTAGAAACAAATAAAAGTTAACCAAATGACCATAACAAAAGTACTCAATGTCCTAAAGGAAGACAGAGCAACAAGAAAATTACCTACAAGGGCCCGACGAAGCAAGGCAGAAGACGAACATTAAGACAATTCAGTTCCAAAGGGCTTTACGAACTATCCATCATAGAGTCTCCCACTTGGTCCGTCAGATGTTGTCAAAAGAGGAAAGCGTAGTGTCCAACTGTAAAAGGGTTGAACACTAAACATGCAGTATGTCTTAAAATAGTAGGGTCATAACCTCTTTTAATAAAACGTTTAATGATTTTAGTAAAAACAGCAGAAAAATTACCATGACCCAAAATCTTACGAAGTTTGTAAATCACATCGCCATTAAAACCAGGCTGGCTAATCCCTTGTCGCAGAAGAGTTTTTAAATCACTATTGAATTTAGAAATTAAATCAAAGTTACGATTGTAAAATTTAGTAAAATATTTCCGTAATTTATGATAGCGGTAGCCCTGTTTTAAAAGCTTGCTGGTAATAGAAATATTCCGCTCGTTGAAATCCTTTACGTTGCTACAAGCTCTAGCGAATCTAATTAACTGAGAAACATAGACCCCGTAAGATGTTGCATGGGGTACGTCTCGATCTAAATGTGAATAATTAACTATACAAAAGTCAAAGTCATCTCTTTTATCATAGATTTTCGTGTGAATAGAATTGTTGTTGATAGTAATATGCAGATCCAAAAATGACGTACTAAAATTTCAATAGTTCGTTTTATTAAGTTGTAGTTCATGCGGATAAATGTCAGACACCATTTGATCAAAATAAGGATTATCTAAATTAAAAATATCATCAAGGTATCTGGAAGTATTATTAAATGCGCCTATAACATCTTGTTGTTTATCTTCAGAGAGACTCAACATAAAGTCTCTTTCATAGCAGTACAAAAACAAATCGGCGACCAGGGGTGCACAATTAGTACCCATAGGAATTCCTATGATCTGTTTAAATAGGGTATTACCAAACCTGACATAAATGTTGTCTAAAAGAAAAGAGAGTGCTCTACAAACTTCGTCACAGGTCCACATAGTATAATGTTTAGCAATACCGTTAGTAAAAATAGCTTTGTTAGAATTACATGCTAGAAAGGTAACTTTTTCCCGTGCAAAAATTTTCTGAATTGGGGAAATTAGTTAATCATTGATTAATTTATGTGGCAAAGTTGTATAAAGTGTAGAAAAATCGTATGTACTGACAGTTGAAATATTATTATTATTATTTTATTGTATAAAAATGTATGTTAACAAATTATATATACAAGTACGCCGTAAATTACATCGTTTGTAACAGAAATTAGAGCGTTTAGGATATTTCTTGTCTCTTTTATTGTTCTCTTTCTTTCTTTCTGTCATTCTTACTTTCTTTCTTTCTACTTGTCTAGTTTAATTTGATGTAAATTTAAAGCTATTTAATCAGTTTATTAATTAAGTTACCAAATAAACTGGCATATTGGCAGACCGAGTAAGTTAGTTTAGTACACAAAAAGTAAGTAAATTTCTACATGTGGAAATTAATATACAAAAGCAACGCATTAGAGAAAAACTCTGTGTTTTTTTTTATTCATACTGATTTTTCCTTAATTATTATCAATTCCTCGAGCATTTTGTCATAAATATTAAAAAGTGAAAAGAGACATAATAACAAATCAGACAATTATTGTTTCGTTACCGCTAAATAAGCGGCTAAGACACAACCAATTGACAATTGCACAAGGTTATTCACACCTTTGCCGTCCGGTATAATGTCAGGGTATTTATCTATATATATGACTTCATACTGTTCATAGTTCCTTTTGAACCGTCCGATTTTCGGTTTTTACACATTCTGATCTTGTCAATGTTTAATGCAATCGTTTAATGAAGACAACATTAATTGTCCGATATCTAGAGAGTTCCGATATTCACAGCGTCCGGTTTTCTCAACTTTCACTGTATTGTATTTACTCATTACATTTGACTATTTATGGCTGCGTTTTTACTGACGCTTTGCGTTATAAACAACTAAAATTCATATATTCTGGGACCTTAATATATGTATAAAATGTTATTATGAATAGGTAGAATGGTAATGTTAAAAATGTGGATTTGTTGAAACCTTTTTATTTTTCAATGCATTGTGCGATAAATGTTTCGTACCCACTACAAAACTTAATATTTCCATTTGTAGAAATTAATTGACGTTTGGTATAATACAATTACTTATTCGATCTGTCAAAATGTCAGTATATTTGGTATTTTTATTTATATAACGATTAATAGCTTTAAAAATTATATGAAATTAAAATAAGTTCAATCTAAAATACTTCTGCACAATAGTTTTAGACAAGTAGCTTGTCTGAGGATAACGGTGGAATTCGCGAAACTAATAACTATCGCTGATTGGCTTATCTCTGTGACCCCTGCAAGCTTGATTGACAGGCGGAGTAATGTCAATTGTCGTCGCTTAACAAATTAACCTAACAGGCACATATGTACAGTATCGTAAACCAGACGCTAAACGGTC